CAGGTGCCGAGTGAGGACAGAGTGTCATCCCAGAATGAACAGCCTGATACACGCAAGGGGCAGTCCCCCCATAATTGGTCTTTAAAAAAATATTGTTATTGGTTTCAGAAAGGAAGGGAGAGGGAGAGAGAAATAGAAACATCAATGATGAGAGAGTATCATCAGTCGGCTGCCTCCTGCACGCCCTCTGCTGGGGATCGAGGCTGCAACCCGGGCATGTGCCCTTGAGCAGAATGAACCCGGGACCCTTCAGTCCACAGGCTGACGCTCTATCCACTGAGCCAAACCAGCCAGGGCTCACAATTAGTCTTGTCAATGCGCAGTGTCCTAGTGCCCATCGTCTGTTGCCCCCACCGGCCCTGTGCCAGGGACATCTGGGCCCACTCATCACCCTCCAGGTCTGCTGACCAGTGAGGATGCTGGCTTTGGCCACACCCACCCATCTACCTGCCCCAGATGCTCTGTGTCTAAGGACGAGTTGGAGTTGTCATTTCCACTGGATGTTTATGATAAAGATTGTACCTGTTTACACGTCTGTGGAGCAGTTCTTCCGTCTCCCAGTTGGGGGTGACCAGGCCTGCAGGGGAGGGCAGTTGGGGGCGACCAGGCCTGCAGGGGGGGACAGTTAGGGGTGACCAGACCTGTAGGGGAGGGCAGTAGGAGCGACCAGGCTGGCAAGGGAGGGCAGTTAGGGGTGACCAGACCAGCAGAGGAGGGCAGTTAGGGGTGACCGGGCCAGCAGGGGAGAGCAGTTAGGGGTGACTGGGCCAGCAGGGGAGAGCAGTTGGGGGTGACCGGGCCAGCAGGGGAGGGCAGTTAGGGGTGACCGGGCCAGCAGGGGAGGGCAGTTAGATGCATCCAGGTAGCAGGGGAGGGCAGTTTCGGGCGATCAGGCTGCCCCGGGGGGGGTGGGGGTGGGGGTTGTCAGTTGGGAGCAATCAGGCTGGCAGGCAGAGTGGTTAGGGGCAATCAGACAGGCTGGCAGGTGAGCGGATAGGAGCCAGTGGTCCCAGATTGGAGAGGGTTTAGGCCAGGCTGAAGGACACCCCTCACCCCTGCACAAATTTTGTGTACCAGGCCACTAGTTTTATAATAAAACTAATTTCTGGACACCGTTGTTTTTTTTACGAATGAGGCAGTTTTATTTACCCAGCACTTGTTATAATGCTTGTTGGCAGCTGCCACCTGCCCTGCGATTCTGTCCAGATCTCTCTGTCCCTGAGGTGTCAATTTTCGGCCCCCATCCTGATCCTTTTCCACCATTTTCAGCCCCTCCAGGGGCTTGGAGGACCCTGAGGGCCACGCTCTTAGAGCCTCTGCTAAAGTGGCTGGGCATGACACCATTTCTCTGTCGTCCTCCATAGAAGCCAATCCCAGTGCTTCCCCGAAGATACAGGTGCCACGCTGTGGAAGCAGCTCATGTGTAGAACCAATTCTCATCGTAGGGAGCAAGCTCATCATGCTTGGCCAGCTTGACAGTGTCCACCCATTGAGGGACTTTCAGCTTTCCGGACTTTTTGAGGAAGGCTGCCAGAGCTCTGACAAACTCCTCCTGGTTCACATCTTTTACAGTAACTCCGGGCATCATGCGGCCTCCGCGCTGCCAGCCAGGGGAAAAGCTCTGGACACAGTTTTAAAGGAGAAAACCCGTCCCCTGTAGGCCTTGTGTGCTTAAGCTATGAATGAAGACCTAGCAGGAGCAGTCCAGGCCGGAATCACATGAACTCTAACCAGAGACCGCGGATCCTAGGACAACCTGGCCACTCGCCCAGCTGCATGGGGCATTGCCGACCATGGGGCTCATGCAGCTCCTGACACCAGCCGTGGAGTCCAAGTCCAGAGACGCCAGGCAGGAGTAGGGAGAACTGCTAACATACCTTGTTACACAATCCGCACATGCGCCTACGAACAGGTGGGGCTCCTGGGGGGTGAGGCCTGAGCAGTGTTCACAGGGACAGGTTTCAGCGGGCACAGACGGGTTGGCAGCCTGGCTGTGGGCTGACATAGGACCCTTTGCCACCCTGGCCCCCTGAGGACGGCTCTACATGCTGGAAAGTTCTAGATGTTGAGCCGACTCTGGCCTGTTGCCAGGTCTCCAGGAGTCACAGATTGGGATCTATCATGCATTTGAAGATGGCAGCACCTGGGGGTCCCCAATTACAGAATACAGAGGGCCCCTGACTCAATTTGGAGTTGTCTTTGTAGATGAGGCTATCTGGGTGGGAGCCCAACAAGGAATGTCCGTCTCCTGGGACTTGAGCACTTCCAACTGAGAAGTGAGGGGTGTGGGGGCAATGATGGGAAGAGGGTTTGCACTTTAGAAAGTCAGCTGGCTCTCCTCAACTCTGGGGAAAGGGCTGGTGTTATCAATTCACTGACAGATAAGAGGCAGGTAAGTGTGATTAAGCTGAGCTCTGGGTTACAACTAGGGTTTCATTTCCAGTTCAGTGGGGAAGACCTGGCAGTTAGGTTTCCTGGTCTGACGTTGGCCTAGCTCAGGTTCAGAATGTCAGCTGAGCGTGGGCCTGCGGGTCCCAGGTTCGATTCCAGTCAAGGGCATATACCTTGGTTGCAAGCTCAGAGGCAACCGATTGATGTGTGTCTCTCACATCGATGTTTCTCTCTCTGTCTCTAAAAATAAAAAATGTCAGCCAGCCAAGTTGCACTTCCCCATGTCTCAAGTCCCTCCACTCGTCTTAGAAAACATTGGAAGTCCAACGATCTTGATACTGTCTCCATCCATGAACTTGATTGGAGTAGAGCCCCTCATCCAGGTTAACATGGTATTTGACTGGGTGTAAGAGCCTGTAAGGTAAATACTGATTCTGTGTGATGCCGCCTGCAAACCACCATGGCCGGGCACACGGAGCCCAACACCCAAGTTGCTGAGCCTTCATTCCAAGCTCAAACTTTTCAGTTACCAAGTACATAAACTAGGGGGAAAATCTGCAAATGACATCTCATATGATGAAATTCTGGCTTTATATTAGAGGCCCGATGCACTAAGATTCATGCAAGAATGGGCGTTCCTTCCCCTGGCTGCCAGCACCGCCTTCACTTCGGCCCAGAGCCGCCTTTCTGCCTTCGTTCTGTCCTGGAGCCACCTTTCTCACGCTGCCCAGATGCCTGGAGCAGCTGGGGCAGTGCAGAATGCCTGCGTTGTCACCATGGTGACGACACAAGTGTCCCGCCCCGCCCCTGACCACTCAGCACCTGCAAACCAACCCGCCATCTTTGATGGGTTAATTTGCATACCCACTGCTGATTGGCTGATGGGCATCATGAAGGTACAGTCAGTTTGCATCTTTCTCTTTTATTAGTGTAGATTCACTGCGTCATCTCAAGCTCCCGTGTACATTGTGTGGGGTGGGGGAGGCTGTTCCATGGTCAACCGTGGCCTTTTCAAGTTACAAACCAGTAATGGTCCCTTCTGACACCACACAGTTATTATTGACGATTCCCTAGGCTGCACTTTACATCCACGTGATTCCTTTTATAACAGGCAGTTTTGACGTGGCCAACATATGCTGAGTTGACTGCATCATTGTAAACCGGGGGTGGGGAAGGTCCAGCCCCAGGGCCATATATGATCCATGAAATCATTTGGTCCGGCCCTACCAAAGCATCAGGGATAAGTTAATTAAGTGTTTGACCAAATATATCAGGCTAATTTTTAAGTTGATAATTCTGTATGGCCCCTGAATGATGTTACAAATATCCAAATGTCCCTTGGCAGAAAAAAGGTTCCTCCAATCTGAGCATTCGTTACCTCACTTTGGCATTTTTAAAGGACAGTATGATCCTCCATAAGGCCTTCCATGTCATAAAAATATTCATTTACCACATCTACGTGAAAAGGCTGCACGTCCTCATTACATCTGTAGGTCCACTGCAACCATGAGCTAAACGCTTCACACGGGCTGGGATCGTCTGATTTCCCAGGGCCCAGGGCCGTCCAGCCTGCACTGCCACAGAGGGCGTCACTATCAGATGACACCCAGGAAAGCCACAACTCCAGGCTGATCAATAATTACTTTGTTCTATAATTGTGACAGTACAGTACCATGCATTTGACAATAAATCATACCCTTCATTTCAGAGTTTCTGATCATAGACAATTATTCCATTAGTGTCCTTCCCATGTTTAAAATGAGCAACGCCCTACATTAGTATTCTCTAACATTCAGAAATACAAACATTATAAAAATATACTCATCCTTGCCCTGGCTGGTCTCGCTCAGTGGATAGAGCCAAACCTGTGGACTGAAGGGTCCCAGGTTTGACTCCGCCCAGGGGGACGTGCCCAGGTTGTAGGCTTGATCCCCAGTGGGGGGGTGGCATGCAGGAGGCAGCTGATCGATGATTCTCTCTTATCATTGATGTTTCTATCTCTCCCTCTCTTTCGCTCTAAAATCAACCAAAAATATATTAAAATATATGTGTGTATGTGTGTGTGTGTATATATATATGTACATATATATATACACACACACATACATACTCATCTTTGAAAACTCCAGTGTTTCTAGTGTAGGATACTTCCTCTTTGGCAATGCAGAGTCTGCAAGCTGACCCCATCTCCACAGAGATGACCGTGTTCTAGGATTTCAAGTGGTTCTGTGGGTTATAGCGAGAGACTGACCTAAGTATAAGCTGTAACAAACATTTCCCCATGGGACCAAGGACTTGAAACCGAAACCCACGCTCTGGTTCCAGTCCGACTAGCGGCGGAGGAAGCTGGTGGTCACCGACGTTCAGAAGTGCCACAGGGAGAGGCGAGCGGGTTCCCCGAGCAGCAGAGCAACAGCCAGGCAGCGATGATCTGTCCGTCTGGCTGCCGCACAGACGAGGACCCCACACGTCCTCCCGCCAGACACAGCCTGCGCCTGAAGGCACCACCATTCTCCACTGAAAATACTTCAAGTCGGGACGCTCTCTGTGAAGAGGGAACCGGAGCGGAAGCCTGATTCCGGCAGGTGACAGCAGTGCTCCCAGCTTGCAGCAGGCCCTGGACTTCAGGAGGGACAGCAGCTTGAGGGCCACAGTCATGGGTCTCACACAGACAGCTGTTTGAAGGCACTTCTGCAAAGTCAGTAGAAGGAGTGGGAGAGAGCGGGTTTTAAAAGTTCATCTTCAACTGCAGCAACAGTTGCATTGCTACCATGTTGCAAAATGACAAGTGCACTTGGCAGATTAGCAGCTCATCAAAAATCAACTCTTAGAAACTTCTAGATTCCAAAAGTCCACAGGTACAAATGTGCAAACCCTAACGACATCTTCAGAATGCTTCTGAAAGGCCGGGCCCTGGCTCCTGAGCTCCCAGCTGCCTCGGACCCTGCTCGGATGGAGCTCACTGGAAATCCAGCCGTGACTGCACAGTCTTGCAGCCCCTGTCGGAGTAGATTTTTTCACCTTTGGGGTAAAACGTCATTTCCTCTGCCACTCTGGTGACAACGTCTTCGTCTATGGCGGAACCACGGGCCTTCATCTCGGCCCGCACACACATCTTCACATGCGTGTACTCCAGGGGCAGGAAGGGGATGAAGTAGTCGATAAGGCTTTTGTCTATCAGTCCGCTGCGCCACAGGCCACCTGCAAAACAGCCCGTCACGGTCACCTGGCGAGCTCGCTGCTCTCACAGGGCCCGTTCTATCCCGACCACAGCACACCTTCGTGTCTTCACCCCTTGAAAGTCTTTTTGTCAAGCGTGCAACAAACCTGATGTAAGGATCGGTTGGCTGCCCCTGCACACTGGCTTCTAGAACATGTCAACCTAAGACATGTCCAGCCCGGCCAGTGGGTGAGCATCAAACTATGAACTAGGAGGTACAGTTCAATTCCAGGTCAGGGCATGTGCCTGGGTTGCAGGCTAGATGCCCCAGGGTGGGGCATGCAGGAGGCAACCAATCAATGATTCTCTCTCATCACTGATGTTTCTACCTCTCTCTCCCTCTATGAAATCAATAAAGATATATTTTTAATAAACACACAACAGAGGAAACATCCAAACCTACAGAGAATTTTTATAAAAATGTATTTTGAGCCAGAGGATGTGCCTAGAAGCATGATCTCAGCAAACTGGAAAAAAAAAAAGCCTCCAGGAAGGACAGCTTTGCAGCTTTTTTTTTTTTTTTAAAGAGCCCTTATTTTTTTAAAAATATATTTTATTAATTTTTTACAGAGAGGAAGGGAAAGGGATAGAGAGTTAGAAACATCGATGAGAGAGAAACATCGATCAGCTGCCTCCTGCACACCCCCTACTGGGGATGTGTCCGAAACCAAGGTACATGCCCTTGGCCGGAATCGAACCTGGGACCCTTCAGTCCGCAGGCCGGCGCTCTACCCACAGAGCCAAACCAGTTAGGGCTTTGCAGCTTCTTTTATGCATTTAGGATTATGGAGGGAAAGTAAGGAAGATGAAATGAAGGTGGGAGAAAGCCAGGCGGGTTGGATTCAGATTAACAGGATTATGGGCTCCCTGAGGGTGGTTACGCCTAGAAAGAGGCTTACTCTAGCAAATCAAGGTGTGTTAAGCTAGATGCTCAGAAACAAGGGACAGGGCTTGCTTAACCCATTGTACGCCAAAAGCATCCTTAGATGCAACCGGCAGACCTTCCCCATACACCACGTGTGTCTATAAAAAAAAATGTTTTCCCTAAGTGGCAGCCCTGACCAACTTTAAAATCATTTTTCGTGCGAATTTTCAGCTGAAAATATTCAAGAACACCTGACTTGGGAGTAATATATTTTTATAATATTCATTGAAAATTGATTTTTTAAATTAAATTTAAAATATCATGGCATGTGGGGATGTTTTCTGTTTTGAACAAGTGGTAGTTAACTGGTTAAGACAAAGATAAGCCTTTCACTAAAGAAGTTACATGCCGCCCAGCTGGCGTGGCTCAGTGGTTGAGCATCGACCTATGAACCAGAAAGTCAGTGCCGGGAGCCAATTCCAGCATATCAGCAGGGCTGAATCATCTGGGGATGGCTGAGGGCATTTCCCCAAACCTGAAAAGGATGCATAAAATGATTGCTTGCTGCCAGACAGCTGAGGGCATTTCAATCTACATGTTATTGCCCCCTACTGGCCAAACACCTGAACAGCCGTAGGCAATTCCTCCAATCTGACAATGGATTCTGTATATACTAAACCTGGCCTTTGATGTATATCTACTTTGCCTTAGGACAATTTGTGTTAATAAAAAGCAAGGGGTCCTGAGACAAGGGAGAACTTAGTTCCTTAAGCTAAGTCTCCTCTGGCCCCCAAATGCCTTCCAAAATTATGTTTCATCTCTGGACTCTTTAATCATTTACACACAGTGCCTACTCCAGATTCCAGAATGCTTCTAGATGCTGGATTAAGACCACTGGCAAGTCAGGGTTCGATTCCCGGTCAGGGCACGTGCCCATGTTTCAGGTCCGATCCCCAGTGTGGGGTGTGCAAGAAGCAGCCGATCAATGATTATTTCTCATCATTGATGTTTCCATCTCTCTCTCCCTCTCCCTCTCTCTCTGAAGTCAATAAAAATATATAATAAAAAAAAAATAAAGTTACATGTCTGGGGTGTGCTCCCAATCAGCGCCTTCCCAGTTAGGAATTTATAATCAGATCACCCTGTGAGATTACCTTTCATAGAACCCCTGAGAAACACCCTGAGAAAGCCCCTGGCCCGGCAAAGCCCCGGAGGCGAGCGGGTCCTGCGGCCTCTGTGAAAGGCTTGGGGGAGAGGACTGCTGGCAGGTGCAGGGCTGCCCCTGGAGACTCACTGTGCTTGTTGTTGAAGACTCCCACCGACAGCGCGTGCTCCAGGTCTTTCAGCTGGATGTCCTCCCTCTTCCTTCCCGCCCGCCAGAACTCCAGGGCCGTCTTCGTGATGAGGTCTCCGCCTGCGTTGCTGAGTTTGCCCAAGAAACAAAGATTAAAACCACATACTAAGACTTCTGTGCCTAGGGGCTGGGGGAGATAGAAGAGGGTAACGGGGGGATAAATGATGAGGGAGGGAGACTTGACTTGGGGTGGTGAACACACTACAATATACAGATGATGTTATAGAATTGTACCCTGAAGCCTGTAACATTTTATTAACCAATGTCTCCCCAATAAATTCCATGAAAAAAAAAAAAGACTTCTGTGTCTAATGAGGAAACACACCTGCTAGACAAAACACAGTGTCTGCCCTACAATCTTTGTTTAGAACCTGCTACCTAACGCCACCACTTTATGTAGAAACATGTGCAGTAATGAAATCGCCTGTTAGCAGCCATATTGAATTCATCTTCTTCTGCCCCCTCTGTGCCACCCTGATACCAGCAACAGGACAGCAAAGGAAATCAGGAAGTCACTCTTGCCAGGCTGGCACTTCTGTTCCTGGGAAACAGGATGCTGATGGTCGCCGGACCTCATTCCAGCCCCGGGAGGGCGAGGGGCAAGTGTGTCCCTGAGAAACCACTTCCCACTAACCTGAGGAAGATGAAGATGGCCTTCCGGTACGACACGCCATCAACCTGCTCATAGTAGTCCAGAAACGGCTTGATGGCGTCGATGACCCCGGGGTGCAGTTTATCCATCTCATCAAATATGAACACGGAGCTTGCACAGGCACTCACGTTACCCCGAATCCACCTCTGTAACTGGTCCTAGACCATCCAGAAAAGAAATAGGACGGGGAGGCTCAAAGGCTGGGCCAAGGGGTACAGAAGTGCTTCCCTATCCCTCGTGCTCTCAAAGGGGAAAACCACAACTCTCTGGGGTTTCACAAAGAACTCTTAGCAACTGTACCCTAACGTCCCTTCGCTGGGGAACAGCTTTTCCAAAACGTTACCTATTAAAAGTGGAAACGAGCAGAGATTTTTTCCTAACTCAAATGACGTGCTAAATGTCACTTTTTAAGGAACAGGATACATGAATGCTTATCAATTCACTGTTAACCAACCCACAGCCTTCCTCTCATTGTGGACCAAAATCTCAGCCTCAGCAGGCACACTGAGGAACAGGAGCTGGAGGAAGACTCGCAGTGCCGAGGGCAATGCCTTTTCCTGGTGCCGCCAACAAAGGACCAGATGACACTTCACAAAAAGCATTTGTTCCCAGGCTTTCTTGAAACAAACAAAAAGACACCCAAGCAGCAGGCCCTCTATGGAGCAAGCAGCCTTTCCCATCTCCCTCCCGTGTGGCATAGACCCACTTTCACTTCCTTGCTCAGTCCAGTTTCTGTTTCTGACTCCAGTCCCCACCTACCAGTAGGAACATTGACTCTTACGAGGATGACACTCACTGAAACGAGAACCTGACCAGACAACTCCCTATAAGCACATGTGGAAAGAACATCTCAAAAGGAGACGTGGTGTTAAGGTTCAGCCGTCTGAGGCTTTCACTGGAAGAAGGAAAGCAACGCCAAGGACTTGAGGGCTGGGAGGAGCAGGGGGAGTGCAGGCGGGAGAGGAGGAAACACGCCCTCTGGTCTGGGAGATGCAAGGCAAGCCCGCACCATGGGTGGGAGCCTTAGCCAGCCATTCCCAGCAAATCGTGCATCCTTCCAGACCACCCACCTTAACCAGGGCCGGGAAGGGAAGGCTGAGCGTGCTCATTCACTGCAGAAACTGGCTACCCTGCGACCTGGAGGTCAGCAGATTTGGGTTCCAGTTTCTGATTTGCTACCAGGTCACAAAGATTGTAAGCAGCAAGTCACCGCACCCCTCTAGCCTCCATCTTTTAACGGAAATATCATCTACGCCACTGTATTATTTTGGAATCAAGCGAGGAAGAAGTTGTAGGAGAGCCCTGCAAATGGCCAAGCGTTTCGGTGTGTGAGTGTCCTTAACTCAGCGGGGCCTGGGGCTATTGCAGCGGGCAGAGAAGCAGCAGAGGCTGGAGTGAGAAAACAGGCGGCCCAGACGAGTGGCGGGTGGACGGGATAGCAGGGTTCCCTTGCCTGGTACAGCTTTATGTGCTGCTCGTGAGGGAAGTGCAGAGTCGACACAAACAGGTGGACAAAGTAACTCTTCAGGCCTTTTGCATGAAGATTTTCAGCCACAATTTGGCTCACAAAATTCTTGCCTGTGCCAGCCGAGCCATGCAAGGAAAGAGTCAGTGGTTTCTTGGGATTGTTGTTGCTCCTGAAGCCAGTCAGCGCCTTGAGAATCACCTCTGTGGCCAGATGCTGCCCAAACAGCTTCTCCTCCAAATCCAGCTTGAGGGCTGCAGGATCCAGCCCAGAACAGAGAGAGAAAGGCACGTTAAACCTGCACAGGCAAGGCGGCCTCGTCCCAGCCGGCCAGAGAGGTGCCAGGGCACGGGGCCCAGCAGGGTCTCTGCCAGACCCCAGGCTGGACCTGCGGCGGAACACGGGCTGCAGTCACACGGCGCCACTTGCAGGGAAATCACTAGATGGACGAGTGTCCTCAACACTCCGGCTCTGACACGCAGGCCACACGTGTCCCTTCATCCAAGGACTAGCCCTCTCTCGACTGAGCTGCACGCTTTCCCCGCCACCCCCGCTGGCTTGTCAGAACGCCCGGGCCAGATGTGGGCAGCCTGGGTGGAGGCCTCACACACGCAAACCACTGAAGGTTCAGGTGACTCAGAAGGGCTGACCAGCTGCTTTCGGTTTCTTCCCGCTGTGATCCCAGGGGTCACAACGCCGACACGGGGGCGTGGACAGGAAAGGGACCACGTACTGACCTTAACCAGGTCAGCGAGGCCGGCATGGCAGCCCCTACAGACTCACAGTTCTTCACAGGTTTGAATGTTCTTCCCTGAACACCTTCTCCCGCCTCCCGGATCTATCACCAGCGAACTTCACGGGACCCCCTTCCGTCTGCCCCTCTGACTCTGATGCAGAAAATAAGCGGCAAAGCTGCCACTCTCCGGAGCATTTCTCAAGCCGGTGGGATTTTGCTTCGCGGGAATTGTCGGTTTGTCTCAAACACATTCGTAAGGATCCTGACAAGCGTGGACGCTCCTGATGTCGACAAGAGGCGCGGCTCCCAGGGCTGGGGTCCCGACCGAGGCCCCACCGCCCTCTGCCTCCCCCACCTCGGGGCCGGCCTTCACGCTCCTCCACGCCCACCCGCCGACCCGCCTACCGGTCGCGTTGAGCGGCCGCTGCTTGCCGCAGCACTCGGCGAAGCGACAGTACAGGTCCCGGTAGGAGAGGTAGCCGGTGATGACCGACGCGGCCCCGATGGCGATGCCCACGCTGATGGGCTCGATCGCCGCCACCGCCTGCGCCGCCAGCAGCAGCCACAGCGCCGCGCCGCTCCCGAGCCGCCCCGCCGCCCGCATCGCCCCGCACCGACCGGCTCTCAGCTTCCACTGTCTCGGCGCCGCCCGCGCGGCGGCCCAGGGACCGGCCGGACTTCCGCGTGCGTCACTTCCGCCGCACAGGCCCGCCCACCCCGGATGTCCGGCTCTGCGCCGCCATCTGTGAGTGGCAGGCGAGGTGTCCGGCGGCTCTTCGCTGGGGTAAACCCCGCGCCTGGCGCCCTTCCGGGTTTGTTTTTTTCGCGTCCCCCGTTGGCCCCCGCCGTCCCCTGGAGCCTCAGTGAGCGGGTCCCCCGTCAGGCCCTTCGGGTCCCCCCACCGCCTTTCTCCCCGAAGCGACTCCGTTCCCGCTGCGGTTGGGCGGGCCCCTGGCGTGCTGGGGGGGTGGCGGCGGGGGAGCGGGGTCCGTCCTCGGGGTTTCTGGCCGCGGAGGACTGCGGGGGAGGCGGGCGAGGGACCCCGGCCGCCCTGGGCGGAGGGCGAGCACCGGCCGCGGGGAGGAGGCTCCCGTCTGAACTGAGAATTCGAGTTCGCCAGGTGCCGAGTGAGGACAGAGTGTCATCCCAGAATGAACAGCCTGATACACGCACGGGGCAGTCCCCCATAATTGGTCTTTTTTTAAAAAATATTGTTATTGGTTTCTGAAAGGAAGGGAGAGGGAGAGAGAAATAGAAACATCAATGATGAGAGAGTATCATCAGTCGGCTGCCTCCTGCACGCCCTCTGCTGGGGATCGAGGCTGCAACCCGGGCATGTGCCCTTGAGCAGAATCGAACCCGGGACCCTTCAGTCCACAGGCTGACGCTCTATCCACCGAGCCAAACCAGCCAGGGCTCACAATTGGTCTTGTCAGTGCGCAGTGTCCTAGTGCCCATCGTCTGTTGCCCCCACCGGCCCTGTGCCAGGGACATCTGGGCCCACTCATCACCCTCCAGGTCTGCTGACCAGTGAGGATGTCTGCCTTTGGCCACACCCACCCATCTACCTGCCCCAGATGCTCTGTGTCTAAGGACGAATTGGAGTTGTCATTTCCACTGGATGTTTACGATAAAGATCGGACCTGTTTACACGTCTGTGGAGCAGCTCTTCCGTCTCCCAACTATACAGTAAACTTTAGTGTCACCCTGTGGGGTTCCCGTGTGTCCTGAGCCTTTTTGGATGGAACCACCGTCCTCCAGCCCTGTCTGAGGGCTTTGTCCTGGGCCTGCCAGGTCCCGAGCCGTGTCCCATAAAATTCTCTGATGTGAAAAAAAGAAGCAGCAGCAGCAGAAGACAGAGTGGCCCATGAAAATGTAAAAAATGTTGAGTGACCGAGGATCCCATGGTCGAGGGGTGTAGGCCTCAGAGGCAGGAGCTGCCACCCCTGCCCCCCTTGTTGGGGAGAGAATCTGATCAGACCAACCTGGTCAGCTGCCACCAGCAGGAATGTTGCTGTCCCTGGGTTCCTGCCCCACCCTGTTTCTTTTAAAAAAAATATATATTCTTGCCCTAACCGGTTTGGCTCGGTGGATAGAGCGTGAGCCTGCGGACCGAAGGGTCCCAAGTTCAATTCTGGTCAAGGGCATGTACCTTGGTTGTGGGCACATCCCCAGTAGGGGATGTGCAGAAGGCAGCTGATGGATGTTTCTCTCTCATCGATGTTTCTAATTCTCTATCCCTCTCCCTTCCTCTCTGTAAAAAATCAATAAAAAATATATATTCTTGTTGATTTCAGAAAGGAAGGGAGAGGGAGAGAAATAGAAACATCAATGATGAGAGAATCACTCATCGACTGCCTCCTGCGCACCCATCACTGGGGATCAAGCCCAAAACCCTGACATGTGCCCTGACCCGGAATTGAACCATGACCTCCTGGTTCACAGGTCAATGCTCAATCTTGGAGCCACACTGGCTGGGCTGCTTCTGGGTGTTTAGATCCACAGTGGTTTTAAGGCTGTACCCTCGGAGTTCATCAACTGTCCGAGCCCATGGTGGCTGCCATCGGCGTCACTGTCGCTGGAAGGCTGGCCCCTTCTCCCCTGCCCACTGCCCTCCGCCTTAGGCCGTCCCGCTCCCCCTACTCGCCTATGATTGTCCGCTTGGCGCGCTGCCGGCGGCGTTTAAACTTCCTCAGGAACATGCAGAACCACCAGCCTGGCTTGGAAGGGCGATGCTGCTGTAGAAAGGGCGCTGCCCTGTGGTTCCGCGGCTGCCTGAGGTTTTCAGGACCAGAGACAGCGCACCCTGGTCTGCACCTGTTTCCCAGGCAGCTCAGGGCTAAGGAAGGAGAGGAATCCCCTCGCTGGTGGACTGGGAAAGGGCCCCAGGCGGGCTCCCGCGGAGGGAAACACGAGGGGGTGCTGGTCTGAGGACTCAGAAACGTGGGTTCAAATCCCGACTCACCACCGCTGCCCTTCAAAAGGTCACACAGATAATGACAACAGAAAAACTAAAAAGCCTGGGTGATTTTCAGTGCCAGCTGTGTACACGGAGCCCCGTTCTCATCCAAGTCCTGCCAGTGTGTAGATTACACAGAGAGGCGCTCGTGTGCAGAGGGGTGCGTGGTAGTTGGTGTCCCCCTTTTCTCGTCTTGTACACAATGATTCAGCGTCTATCTCTGTGAAATCCTAATGGATGTGGCTCACGGGCTGCCAACCTGTGTAATAAGCACATCATCCGAGGGAAGGAGATCTGATGTGCAGAGGTGCTCAGGGGTGAGGGAGGGGCCTGATTCAGGACGGGGCGCCCGCCTGTCTCCCTCCTCCTCTCTCCCCACGTTCCCTCTGTGGGTCTGATCCGTTCTCTGCACAGCACCGGGCTGTCTGTGCGCTGGTCCAGACACCAGAGAGGCCACACACCGCCTTTCTTCCCCACCACCCTCCAAAACTCCCAGCCCGGGAGAGGGGTTTGATTGGCCCGCCTGTCTCCCCCGCCCCTTGATCCAATCATCTGCGGCCGGGGTTGGGGGTAGCATTCCCTGGGGTGAACATGGCTGCCCCCACTGCGACTGTGGCAGAGGAAAGCGCTGTCCACCCTCCAGTGGATTCCCTGGGCTCCCTCCACTAGGGCAGGCGACTGTGTGATAGATGCTCAGAAATACAAGCAGTCTTACCCCCGCGCTCCCCATACAGTCTCCACGGTGGCCACGCCATTCGCACTGCCCAATGTACTGCTCGGCCCTGCTCCCAGCACCCGGTGTGGTCAGTCATTCACCCGACGGTGTTCTCTGGGCACTGCCCGGGGGCAGGCGCTGGGGAAGGGGAACGAGGCAGACAGGGAGCTCCTCCAGGGGCTGGTGGACAGACAGCAAGCAAGGGACCCACCCCTGGTCATGTGGACGCTGCGCTCCTGTCCGGACGACCCCTTTCTGCGGGGATGGTGAGTCCTCGGACACGTGCTTTAGCCCCTCTGAACCTCGGCTTCTTCACCGCCAAGTGGAGATCATCAGGGTCCTCGGAGAAGCAGACCAACCGGGTATGTTTACTCCGAGGGACTGGCTTTTAACCATCAGGCCCTTCAACAGCCTTCAACAGAAGCCCGGGGTGACCGTGCTCTGTGCGTGGCGGGGAGGGGGCTTGTCGAGAACAGCGAAGCACCTCTGGCTTTGCCCGGCTTGCAAGCTTACAAGGCGGCCTGCCATCTTCAGAGACGCTGCACGGACACGCGCCTCCTGGGCCAGAGACGGAGGCCTTGTTTCTCAGGGCACCGCGATGCCAATCCATATTTGTGGGATGAATAGATGGCTGGACGCTCTTCAGTCCTGAGCGGCATACCCGGGAAATGAGCAACAGCCTCCAACGTCAGTTAAAGTGGTAAGGTGGCAGACAAGACCAGCTTGGCAATACCTGGCAAGGTTGGAGCTGTGCGTGCCCGGAGTTCCCACTCCCCAAGCCTTTTTCAAAGCACCTGAAGAAAAGCAAAGTATGGTCCAGTGCGCTGGGGCTACTGGAAGGGCTACTGGACAAGGTGGCTGGGCCCAGGGCTCTGGTTGCCCCTGTTCCCACCCATCTTCCCACCTGGATCCCATTCATGGCAAGGAGGGTGCAAAGCGCAGCCCTAGAGGGACCCATACTTTTCTGTCACTAGGGTAACGTATAAACAATTTAGTCCTACAATGGAATATTATATAGCAGATAAATTGGATGCACTTGAACTATATCAATGTCTATAAATCTCAGGAACCAGAGTTGAGTGAAAAAGAAAAAGTAGCAAAAGGGCATGCATAATATACCATTTTTTCCCTTTTTCTTTTCTTTTCTTTTTTTTTTTTTACAATATACAAAATCCATTACCAGATTGTAGATACAAAGTAGTTAGCCATTTACATGCAATAAACATTAATATTTTAAGAAAAACAATTTTAAATATAATATTACATGCAACTTTTTAAAAAATATATTTTATTGATTTTTTACAGAGAGGAAGGGATAGGGATAGAGAGTTAGAAACATCGATGAGAGAGAAACATCGATCAGCTGCCTCCTGCACACCTCCTACTGGGGATGTGCCTGCAACCAAGGTACATGCCCTTGACCCGAATCGAAGCTGGGACCTTTCAGTCCGCAGGCTGACGCTCTATCCACTGAGCCAAACCGGCTAGGGCAACATGCAACTTTTAAAATATGTTTTTATTGATTTCAGACAGAGAGGAAGGGAGAGGGAGAGATAGAAACATCAATGATGAGAGAATCATTAATGGGCTGCCTCCTGCACGCCTCCTACTGAGGATTGAGCCCACAACCCAGGTACATGCTCTGGACCAGAATCGAACCCAGGACCCTTCAGTCCACAGGCCAATGCTCTACCCACTGAGCCAAACCAGCTAGGATATAATACACCATTTATTTACACATTGTTGATGGATACATTCATGTATAGTTAAAGTGGAAAGAAAACATGCAATGGCTGGCGTTGCTCAGTGGTTAGAGCATTGGCCTGAGGACTAAAGGGTCCTGGGTTCGATTCCAGTCAAGGGCATATACCTCGGTTGCAGGCTCGATCCTGAGGCCTGGTCGGGTTTGTGCAGGAGGCAACCAATTGATGTGTCTCTCTCACATCGATGTTTCTCTCTCTGTCTCTCTCCCTCCCCTCCACTCTTTCTAAAAATCAATGGGAAAATATCCTCGGGTGAGGATTAACAACAACAAAAAGAGCTGAGGGAAATATGGCAAAATGTAACATCTATTACTTCTGGAGTGTTATTTCCTTTGACGAAATAGTTTATAATTAAATAAAGGCCTTAACGTGGCTCCAGAGAGGTTCCTGATGACGCCTGGAGAATCTGGCCTCTGGTAACCTGGAGAGTGTGCTATTTTTGTCCTGAGACAAAGGCTAGAAGGCATTCATTTCCCCAAATCTTGTCTCGCCTGCTTTCAGGAGGCTGGTGTACTTCCCACGTGTAACCACTAGATGGCGCCAGCACACAGGGTTATAAATGGGAGCCCTTTTTTTTTCTGTTTGGTTGTTGTTTTTTTGCCTCAGCAACTTGAAACAAGGAAAAGGCGATTTTTGCAAGACAGAAGCAGGGGCAGAGCAATCATTTGAGAACGTGAGACGCAGGTAGAGGTAGAAAACAGCACCCAGATAGCAAAAGGACCCCTAGTAGAAGTAGCAATACCATTCACAGGTGTTGATACAGTGCGATTTTCTAGTCCTTAAAATTACCCAAGATGCAGTTCTTAGGCATCAAGACAGATGCCAACAGGGGGTTCAGGAAAACTCCAGTTCCCACGTCTGATTGACATCATTCCATTGAACAACGCAGAAGTGTGTGCACCCTCTCTCTGGAGGGCGGAAGGGTCCGTGTGTAGTCTCCAGTGCCTGAACTTTGGCATAAAGGCTCCGCTTCTGAGCTGTGTGACCAGTTGGGCAACGTCTTCACCTCTCTGGGCCTCAGTTTCTGACGTTAATCTAGGGGTAATAACAGTACCTAGTCCGGAGAACTGGTGCAAGGCTTGAATGAGATTATTTATACACATGACGTCCCTGGCACACAGTAGGCCTTTGAGAAATGGTAGAAGCATTAGACCCTAATGCTCAACCTGCTCTAAAGTAAGCACTTCAGTGGTTGAGCATCAACCTATGAACCAGGAGGAGGTCATGGCTCTACTGGTCAGGGCACATGCCCGGGTTGTGGGCTCGATCCCCAGTAGGGGGCGTGC